TATTTTAAAGGATTCTGCCACAATTTTCAACCAAATTAGATGAATTGGTTTTCTCAACAATTCTAGATTTGATACTGCCAAAACGCGCCTTATCGAAATAACGGTTTTAGACCCTAGGTCTCTTTGGACAAAATCCGTTTCAGGACATTTGGAGTCGATCTATCGAGTTCGTCCGTCTTTCTGGCTGCTGGTGCGCACGACTATTCTCAAAGGGAGTTTTCGATTCGATACAAACTTGGTTCATCGTAATAGTATTGTCAAACTTAGATCGAGTTCGGAGATGGGAAATATCGGTCCACTCCTTCTGGTACCTCCATCACAAAGGGTCAAAATTTTGAACATCCATGAAATTCATAAAACGCGAAATTAACATCTGATTCCATTCAGACTTGGTATATCTCAATATTTGCATCATCTCAAGATCTGTTATAAAGATGGTAGAGATCGGACCATTCCTAACGGTACCTCGCCTACATAGGGTCAAAATTTTGAATATTCATGAAGCTTATAAAACGTGAAATTAACACCCGATTCCATTCAGACTATGCAGAGCTAAATATTTCTATCAACACAAGATCTGTTATAAAGATGGTAGAGATCGGACCATTCCTACTGGTACCTCCCACACAAAGGGTCAAAGTTTTGAATAACGAAAACCATCATAAACACCGAAATAAGTATCCGGTTCTCTTCATATTTCACAAATCTCAACATTTTCCATAACACAAGATCTGTTATAAAGATGGTAGAGATCGGACCATTCCTTCTTGTACCTCCCCCCAAAAAGGTCAAAATTTTGAATAACCAAAATAATCTTAAAATTCGAAATAAGCATACGGTTCCCTTCAAACGTAGCACACCACATTATTTCTACCAGCACAAGATCTGCTGTGAAGATGGTAGAGATCGGACCATTCCTTCTGGTACCTCCCCCCAAAAACTGTCCAAAATTTGAATAACCAAAACGATCATAGAATTCAGAATAAGCATACGGTTCTCACAAGATTTGCTGTGAAGATGGGATATATCGGCGCAATCCTTCTGATACCTACCGCGCATGTGGTTCAAGATTTTGAAAAACAAAACGCTCAAAGATAGCGAAATAACCATTCAATTCGCTTCAAATTTCATAGATGAATGCGAACCTCTTCTAGTATCTCATCCATAAAGGGTTACAATTTTCAATAATTTTATCTGTCATAACTTGCGAAACAAGTCAGCGATTCTTTACAATGTTGGAAATTGGTGTTATCGACAGATCTGTTCTCTCCTTTGGTTCAGGTCCAGTAATTGATATAGCTCCTATATAACAGTACGTCCCGATTTCCGATATTTTGACGATTTAAGCCATATTTTCTGACGGATTTTTCTACAATTTTGTTTTTGCTGTTCGTAATGGGTTTTAGCTACGCGGGAAGAACATTGAATGTACAGATTCAAGTTTTTCCATAACGACCATATAACGGAACCTCCCTATATTCGATATTTTGATCATTTTAACCACATTTATACACGATTTTTTTAACTAATGGTGTAGGGTATTTTCAGTTCAGCCCGGACGAACTTAAATGCTTTTCTTGTTTAATATAAAAAACTCTCTACATTTTCTTTGACTGCCTTGGCACACCACCGCTGTCTGGTGGTTGGATGGATGGATGGATCATCAACTCTTCTCCTAAGATCATATTTCCATCAAAGTATTGAATTTCGATTACTTAACCGTTATATTTATCAATTATCAAGATTAGAGTGTTCATTTTATATTCCAATTGCAATGTATAACAATTAAAGAAGGAAACCCCATTCATTATCTCCCTACGTTTTTTCTATTTTTTCTCACAGCCCACCAAACGCCATGGAAATTATAAACAACGGGGCTGTGGAAAATAAATGTGGTCATAGATTGTGCCATAGGCCACCAAGATTCCCTCGAAAAAGCGTTCACACACGCACTCCGTTTTGTTATAGGGTTTCCTTCTCATTGCGATTGTTTGCAGCATATGTGTGCTACGTGTGTGCATGCGTGTATCTGTGTGTAATTACGCAAATTAAGGACAGATTTCTATCTGTTGCTAAATCTGCTCCAAAGAAATGTGCTAAAACAATTTTCATTGAAGTGCAGATGGGCTTTTAACACTTTTTTTCCTCTTCGCCCAGTTTTAGCACTTTAATTCTTATATGCCACCCTTGGGAACAATGTCGGCTTTGAAAGCAAAATGATTTTGCTTAAAATATTTTTTTTTTTTGGAGAAAAAGTGTTAAATCATCTAAGGGGAATGACTTGTGACATGGCCATGGTACCATGATTAAAAGGGTTAGTAACGAATTAGGCATAATGGATGGAAAGCAAAGGGGTAAAAGAACTTTTTGAGAGAAAATTGATTTTAACAACAAACGTTGTACATTTATAAGAAATTGTATATGAAAAAAGGAAAATTAAAAAAATTATAAAAAACAAGTAAGCAAAGGCTATAGTCGTGCGGGGCCGACCATGTGATACCCTACAACACTACAATATATTAGAAGCCCCCTTATGTCCGAATCCCTTTTTGGAATATTTCGCTTTTGAAATTATATCATGGAGCACTGCCCAGATATTACCCTTAGCGTTTTGACCAGGGACATTTGCCCAATATTTGCGCACTCCATCGTGCTGCTAGTTGTTGTGGTCTATTTTACAGCTACATATACCAATGGTTATCCAAAATGCTAGAATTCTTCCCTGTTCTTAGCTCTCCTCAATTGTGTGAGCAGGAATTTTTTTCTGTTTTTGGGTCAACTCCAAATATTTTGCGATCAACTCCAAAAGCTGTATCACTAAATTTAAACTTATTTATATGAAATATGAAACGAAATCGGCATAAAAAAGCCAGAAGTTCACCTTTTGTGTATTTCGGATATCGCCAGTAAGTAATGGTGGTATTTTTACACACAAAAGTAGTGGTCCATACCCGCTGTACTAAACTCTAACTTCATGCGAGATTTCCTTTGAATTGAATTTATTAACTTTAAAACGGCTGCAAAATCAGGAACATTTGTAGTTGTTGGTCCATTTCAGCTCCTAAATATATTGCGGACATCTTTAAAATAATAGGCCTATTTTTTTTTAATTTTATACTTTTATGTTAAGAGGGTATTCTGAATTGACAAAATTTGTCGAAATCGATCTAGCCATTCTTGAGATATAAGCATTCTAGCTAACATCCCCTTCCTTTCTATATATACATTGTATATATTTCGCTATATACACGGTCAGAGTTGACCTGTTCGTCTATTTGTGATTTCGCCGGGATAAAAAATATTTGCAGTTTAATAGAACATTTGACTTTTATTTATCACAAATGTTATGATGCCCGTGAAGATAAATTTTAAAATATAAATGCAATGTGTTGGTGCGCAAGGGGTTAGTTAATTGAAAAATAGTTTTTTTTTAATATTAACGATTTTTACCATTTTTTGGATAAATCAACGTATTTTTAAATTAATTTAAATTAAATTAATTTAACAGGAAAATGACACAATTTCCCGATGAGGACGAATAACCAGAGTGGTGTTGGCGGTAGGGAAACTGCATGGAAAATGCTGAATTGCACAAAAACTATGCTAGCTGCGTCATTGAGGCGGGTCTTAAATGAAAGGTCTCGAGGAGTACTTTCTGGCTATATATGCCCTATATTCCCAACTGATTTCAGATAATCGAATTTTTTCGATTTTCTAACCAAAGTGGCGGTTTCGGTAGGGAAACTGCATGGAAAATGCTGAATTGCACAAAAACTATGCTAGCTGCGTCATTGAGGCGGGTCTTAAATGAAAGGTCTCGAGGAGTACTTTCTGGCTATATATGCCCTATATTCCCAACTGATTTCAGATAATCGAATTTTTTCGATTTTCTAACCAAAGTGGCGGTTTCGGTAGGGAAACTGCATGGAAAATGCTGAATTGCACAATTGGCTATATATGCCTTATATTCCCAACTGACGCAGCTAGCATTGTTTTTGTGCAATTCAGCATTTTCCATGCAGTTTCCCTACCGAAACCGCCACTTTGGTTAGAAAATCGAAAACATTCGATTATCTGAAATCAGTTGGGAATATAGGGCATATATAGCCAGAAAGTACTCCTCGAGACCTTTCATTTAAGACCCAATGACGCAGCTAGCATAGTTTTTGTGCAATTTAGCATTTTCCATGCAGTTTCCCTACCGCCAACACCACTCTGGTTATTCGTCCTCGTCGGGAAATTGTGTCATTTTCCTGTTAAATTAATTTAATTTAAATTAATTTAAAAATACGTTGATTTATCCAAAAAAAATGGTAAAAATCATTAATATTAAAAAAAACTATTTTTCAATTAACTAACCCCTTGCGCACCAACACATTGCATTTATATTTTAAAATTTATCTTCACGGGCATAATGTTATGGTCCATTTCATCCACTAAATATTACCCGATGACCAGCAAAATTGGAAGGCTTCTGCCCAGCCCTAAGCTCTGTAGAGCAGCTGCAAAATCATGAAATTTTTCAGTTTTTGGTCCATTTCAACCCCTAGATATAATACGATCACCTACCCACCTCCATTCTAAATTTCCTGAAGATCGGGCCATAATTGTGACCTGTAGAGTGATTACAAATTAACATGGACAGACGGACGGACGGACATACATAGCTAGATCGACTCAGCTCGGCGAGATAGGAAGATCCATATATACTTTCCTATGTTGGAAATCAATATTTCGAGGTGTTACATAATTTTTGGCCCTATCAAACTTATAATACCCCCAAAACATAGTGTTGTAGGGTATAATAATATGAATGCTTGTGATAAAAAATCATATATTTCAATCATATATTATCGACATCAAGATGGCGCCCTTTAAGAAAAACTGCTCCCTGGCGTCTTTACTGCACCATCCATTTTTACATTAATTTTATCGAAACAAATTGTAAAACACTATTTTTCTATTTTAAAATCTAATTAATTATTTCTTATTATTTTCAGGGTAAATTCAATTGATCCTTGTTGAAAAAATCTGTTTTTTAGACAAGATTTATGTGGCTACAATCAGGGTCTCGGTAAGTAAAGTCGAAGTGTAATAAATTGTCAAAAATTATGGCAGAAAATCTATTTGAATCGATTACATAGATCTAGAGACCCAAAAAAAAAAAGTAAAATATTGTAGAGTTGGCACAATATATACCTCCATCATTTGGAACAATTTAGGCAAATAAAAAAATAAAATCCGTTAAAAAATTTGTTAAAATCTTAAAAATAGCGAATGTAGCCGTTACATTGGGGTCTATACGACGACGTGGACCTGCATAGGAAACTTTTGTGATAAGCCATTACAATATTGAAATGCGAAACTTGAAAAAAAAATCGGTGAAAATTGAAGCTAAAACCAAACCGAATATAGAGAGGTACCATTATATGGGGGCTATACGAAGAAGTATCCATTACGAACTTCAAATACCGAATTTGAAACAATTCTGGTGAATAATGTCGCTAAAATCATAAATATACCGAATATAGGGAGGTATCGTTATATGGGGGCTATACGAAGACATGGACCTGCACAGACAATATTCTGTCGTAGGCTGTAATATTCATTACTAACTTCAAATATCAAAGTTGAAACAATTCCGGTGAATAATGTCGTTAAAATCACCAAAATACCGAAAATAGGGAGGTACCATTATATTGGGGCTATACGAAAACGGGGACTTACATACAACGTGGACCATTTTCAATACCAAAAGTCCTGCAGACATAATATACATTAGAGTAACATTTTATCAACCTAGGTCATTTCGCTCGGAAGCTAGAGTGATTTCTACCGACGGAAAGACGGACGGAAATCGCTAAATCGACATTAAATTCTATGCTGATGGAGAATGTATACACTTTGTGGGGTCTAAATTTGTATTTCGAGGTGTTACAAATGGAATGACAAACTTAATATACCCTACATACTATAGGGTATAAAAATGTCGACACTACCGGTTAAATTATGAATTTGCTTCCTTGTGTAGGAGATTATAAATCTTAGCCACTTTTTGGAAGAATTAGTGCTGGAAATCTGGGAGTACCGAAATAACCCGTTTTTAATAGGAAATAGCTTAATCGCATTTTCCTCAAAGGTCACGGCTATACTGACTTAGAATTTAGCCCTGATCATAGAGTGTTTCTCTCTCTCTCTCTCTATCTCTTAAATTTTAACAAATCTACATTTATTTTATAAATTTCAATATATTAAAATATTTAAAACTCTTCCCAAACAGAGATTATAAAAATAAATACAGAATAGGGACAAACCTGTTTCATCATTTCAATCTCGGCAGCCACATGACATAGACATTTTGAGCAATTCGATATCTGTTATAAAGACATTAAATCAATTATGGATTTTATCGGATAGGAAAATTATGTTGTTGTTGTTGTCAAAACGACAAAAACAAACAAATCTGTTGAGCAAACATTGTAAATGTCAGGTTTATTACAGCACCTAAAATATGGCTCTATCTCATTCTCTCCTTCCATTTCAATCTCTCCCCAAAATAAGCCCGAATTATCAATTCTCTTGAATACAAAATGTTACAGACTGATTGACTTTAGTCGATTTTTGTTTGTTTATTTATTTATTTATATTTTTTTGTAAAATTTATAGGATTAACTTTATGGTCTATTTAGCCTGTGTGCATGGAGCAGAGTGCGTGTGTATGTGTGTGTGAGTGAGTGTGCTCATGACAAACCTTACAATATTGACGCTTTTTGGAAAACCTGGCTGCATTTAATACTCAATCAAGCCGTAAAAAGCCAATTAATGGCTCTAAAAATTGTTTATAAACTTTTTTTGCTGTTGTTGTTGTTAATTTTTCATTTTGATTTCCTGCTTTCATTGAAAGTTTTTTTATTTTGATTTGTTTGACCAAAAGTGGTTGGCTGGCTGGCTGAATGACTGACTGACTAACCAACTGAGGTGTGTAACAGTAAAACTTTAAAACTTCAATCATCCAAAGTGCAAGAATGAAGCAGACAACCAAGACGACGAAGAAGAAGATATAAAAAATTAAGTACAATAACAACAAAAACTAAAAAAAAAATATTTGTGAAGTCACAAAGTTTAGGTTTAAAAGCAACTGTCTCTGCAAATCATGTGTCCCGTAAGGCTAAAGAACTTTACGCTTCATTACCACTACCGGCTGACTGAGTAGCTGGTCGGTTGGTTGAATGGCTGGGTTGGCTGACTGGCATACAACCAGCAACGCTAAATACCAAAAGTCATAGTGTAACGTATCAATTCTAAATACATACCGCAATTACCAAGATTGTTGTTATTTTGAAAAAAAAAAAAAAAAAAATAGAAATAAATAAAATTAACCTTAAGATAGGCAATGTGGACAATGGGGGATCCACTTAAGATAGTAGAGTTATAAACGACAGGTAATCAGGGTATATTCCCAAAATATTGGGAACTTGTCACATGACTCAATTTAGTTTATAAAATGTTTCTTTTTCCCACATGGAGCTCAATGTTGCCAACAGAATTATACTCTCACCCTCTTCCAATCTACGAGTATGTATATAAGAGAATAGCGAAATAACTGACTGAATGATCTAGAATCTACGCCCAGACAAAACGGATAAATGTTACAATTTTTCATAAGGGTCAATCTTGGTGTGCAGGCGTGTGATAAGGCTGGGGTTTTGGAAAAATGGACTAAAAGTACTAAAATGTACATAAAATTGAATACTTTGTATTGGACAAAGGGAATGAGCTAGAATCCTAATATTAGGAAGAGGAGCCACTGCAGGATAGATGTACCAAAGGGTTTTTGGAATTCCAAACTTAAGGTTACGGAAAAATTTAAAATGGTACTAAATTTCTAAAATGGTACCATTTGGTATTAAGTGAACGGACAGAGCAAAAAACTTGAAAGGTTGGAAAATAGAAAAAAATTGATATATGACGGTGGTTTTTGGAAAAGTGCACTAAGTGCGCGGACTGTACTAATTGGTACTAAATTTGGAACAACTTGATTTAGGGTAATGAAAAAATTTTGTATTGGGGTCCCTGTTTGTGAAAGTTTTATCATTTTTTTGCTATTATAAATGTTTGCTACAAGTGTCCGAAAAGTACTAAATGTAATGGAAAAGCGTCCTATATTTGTACTTAATGGTGCTAAATTTTGTATTGTGAGAAGAATTCGAAAATTTCATATTGGGGTCTCTGTTGGCATCTGGTGGTGGTCTTGTAAATGTGTACAATAATATTCGAAAAGTACTAAATGGTACTAATTTTGGATCACTGTTGGTGTCTAGGATGGATAGATGTAGATTGTTTTGGATATACAGGATGAGATAAAATAAACCGCAACAAAGTCAAACGGCATAATTTTTACATTTTTTTAATTTTATTGAATGAGACCAAAAAATGTCGGAAATAGCATCAAATTTTAGAATAAGTTTAGATTTGTTCGAATTGGTCACCTTTGGCACGAATTATGGCAAATGACACGCTGCCCGAATGTTGGTCTGCGGTACTTTGGTCCATTCCCGGCGAAGCGCTTGCTTGAGATGATCGACATTTTGGTATTTTTTAGTGCCAACCTTGCATTCCAAAATACCCCAGACACAATAGTCCAACGGATTGGTATCCGGAGTTTTAGGTGGCCATTGTGCGCTGGAAATGAAGCGAGGAACCTCATTTTATAAAAATTCTTGGGTGGCACGTGCAGAGTACGATGGTGCTGAATCCTGTCTGCGGCCAAAATGTTTGCGTCCCCAAGGCTTTAATACACCCTCCAGGATATTTTCGCGATAATATTCGGAATTTATTCTGATGTCACGGTCGATTAATCGAGTGTAGAGCCACCATCGGCTGTTATGGCGGCCCACATCATCACCATGGCCGGCGCTTGAGTTCTGGTGCCCAACCGAAGATGCACATTTTCAGCTGACCTCTTTGGCAAGTAAACACGATCATTTTGTTTGTTTACAAACTGCTGGGCAACGAATGTTTTCTCATCGCAGACGGAGATAACCAAATTCGGGAGTTCACCACTTTCGGCCAAGCGAAGCAACTCTTTAGCTCTTTTGAGTCTATTATCTTTCTGCGGCGGTGTAAGTTCTTGCACTTTTTGGAATTTCAATGGCTTTACCCCGAGCTCATTTTTCAATATTTGCCGAATGGAATATTTTGACAATATGTTTAGCTCACGAGCCATTTTTCGGCTACTGCGGCACATTTTTCGATCAAGTCGCTTCTTTACTTTTCGAACCATTTCTGCTGATATTGCTGTTTTCTTCCGTCCACTTCCTTGACGCTACCAGTATCAAGGTAACGAGCGATGGTACGAGACACAAAAGATTTATTTACATTTAAATACTGGAGAGCTCTAACGATAGTCAATTGTCGTTTTCCAGCCAAATATAAAGAAATCATACTATCACGCTTGAATTCCATCACGAATAACTTTTTTTCTAGAAAATTCTCCCCAAAATGCTTTTGTACGCTTGTAAACAATACAATGAGCTGTCACCGGAATAATTTTAACAGCTGTCGGACGATTGGCTTAGAAATGACAGCAGTCTGAAATTAGTTGCAGTTTTTTCATCTTACCCTGCACATACTAAATGTTACTAAATTTGATAATGAGTTATTGTATAGAGCTGGAATCCCGAAATTTGATATTGAGATCACTCTTTGTTTCCAGGGTTTATATATGGAGACGGTGAAATATTTTTGCACAGAAAAAAATGGATGCGGATCCATTGTGCAATGTTTCTTTCGGGTCAATCGAATACTCCCTTCTAGAGTTATTGTTCGCATCAAACAAAACATACAGAAGGAAATGGCCATATGTACTCCATATGTGCAAATACGGTTTTCGTTAAAGAGACATGGTGTCGAAAATAGCGATTTCGTTTAGGCGCATTTTGACTATCAAATGATATATGAGCCATAAGCCTTGAGGGAATACACAAACCTCTGGGGAGTTTTAGTTGCAAAACCAATTACCCAGCCAAGTGAAAATGTCTTTAAATATTTTTTTGGAATGATTTCAATTAATTA